CAAATAAAGAATTATATATATATATATATATATTATACTTCATTTGTTATGATAGTTTGAGTACAACCAAATCTACAGGGTAAATCATGTCACTAATTTTGACACTTAAGGCAATAGAAACTCAACGGGACTCGGTTTAAAAACTGTGATTGAAAATGCAACTAAGCAGACAAGCTCAAGTTTCAATAAGAAAGAAAACCAAAACATATGGGGTATCAAATTCAAGCTGTGGATGACAGAAATACAATGAAACATCTCTAAACAACACTATTTTAAAGTTCAGTAAGATAAAGTCTGAAAAATGTAATATCTGGAAATGGAGGACCACTCCTCCTGCATCGCATGTCCTCAAAAGACGGTTGCTGATGCAGTAAATAGTCTTGTTGTATTTAAATATTACAACCTGTACAAGGTGCTACACTTCTAGATAGGCTAAATAAGGAACAGAGCTTTAAAATGTGGGTTGAAATTCACCTTGTTTTTGAAAAACCGAGAGCTTTATGAAAACGTCACCGAAATTGATGCGAAAAAAAAAAAACAGACACCGTCACTGGAATGTGAAGAATTCAAAATGGCAATTACCAAAGATTTATAATGCAGAACAAGATAGTAATCCATATTTTTATAACCGGAAGTAAGTGGTGAGTTAAAATGGCGATGACGTCATCAGAGACAGCACTGTGTGCTCGGAAAGGGGTCATATTTCCAAGTGCCTACTCAATACTGTCTAACATTATGTCTGATTCAGATAAATACTGTATTTTCTGCCGTACAAGTCACTCCGGCATATAAGTCCAAATATGTCTAATAAAGTGAAAAAAAAAAAAAACATAAATAAGTTGCTTCACCGGTGTTGTGCCAAAAATCAACTGGCTGCCAAATGGCAGCCACGGCACATGGGAGGACTCCTAGCTGGGTGGTGGAGTAGAGGAACAACATATAAAAGCCTAGAGGGCCCTCTAGCGGCTGAAACTGGTAATGTTTACTGGTCCATGCCTAGGAATGAACATTTCAAATGTCACTCAAAAAGTGGGTTATAAATATGGGGTGAAACAAAAAAAACAACAACATATATTAGTCACTTCAGTGTACAAGTTGCAGGACTTGCAAATTTTTGCAAAAAGGTGAGACTTATATGCCGGAAAATATGGTACAGTGTGTTCCCTCACACATGGAAATGTTCTTATACTGCAGTTGATGCACAACCATTTTTCACTAATCTGCACTCAAAACTCCCAGTTGAAATATATATATATGTATTAGAAAAATGCATTAAAATGTATTCAAATGACATTTGACTATTTATTCACACTGTTTAAATAATGCTTAGTTAAATCAACGTTGGCAGCTGAGATCGTTCTTCTTTACAAATGTTCTCAAGTTCACTCAGGTGGAATGGAGACTGTTGATGGACAGACATGTTCAGGTCTCTTTCAGCTCAAGGTTCAAGCAGTCTTGCCGAGCTGCTCTAGAACTGTTACAGGCTTGCCACTAGCACAGGAGTGACCTGTGTTGGCCTTGCTGTGATTTAGGTTATTGTCATGTTAGAAAGTGAATTGTCAGAACAAGCTGAGTCCTAGAACTGGTTTTCATTAAGAACATCTCTACATTTTGCTCTTTATAGCATTAACTCAGTCTTGTTGAGTCTTCCAATTCCTCAAAGTACTGAAAACTCCCCCTCATAATGCTGCTCCAATCATGCTTCACTGTGGGCAGTTCCTAAACATCTACATGCCACGTCAAACTAATGCCAAACAGTTCAACAATAGTTTATTCAGGCCAGAGAACTGTGTTCCTCACAGTTAGACAATCCGACTATCTCATTTTCAAGAGTTTTGCACTGTAGAGAAGCTTTTGTACTGTGTGTATAT